CAAGAAGCAACGGATGGAAACTAATCAAGGAGAGAAGCAACCTAGAACTAAGGAGAAACTTCCTGACAGTTAGAACAATTAACCAGTGGAACAACCTGCCTCCAGAAGTGGTGAATGCTCCAACACTGGAAGTTTTTAAGAAGAGACTGGACAGCCATTTGTCTGAAATGGTATAGGGTTTCCTGCCTGAGCAGGGGGTAGGACTAGTTGACCTCCAAGGTCCCTTCCAACTTTTTTATTATTATTATTATTATTATTATTATTATTATTATTATTATTATTATTATTATTATTATTATTATTATTATTATTATTATTATTATTATTATTATTATTAATAATAATCTACAACCAAAAGACAAGTGAAACAGAAGACAAAACCATTTTCTGACTTCAAAGAAACAATAGATTCTTCTTGTTAGCTAACTTTTCAGTAAGAGTCCCTTCAGACTGGAGAAATCCCACAGTTGAAGCTTAATACTTAGGATGGAAAGATGATAGCCCAGTAACAAAGAAGAGTAAGGTATGAAGAACCAGCAATTTATAATCAGTTTTAATTAGTGTATTAAATGGGAATGGGTGACCAGAGTTCAAATCCCCAAATTTGGGCACTTGCCACTGTCATGTATTTATGATTGCAGTGTCCCAGGGTCATGTAATCACCAACAAGCAAAATTAGTGGGGGAAGTGAGATTTGCTTAACAACCACATGATTCATTTAACAACTGCAGTGATTTACTTAGTAACTGTGGCAGAAAAAGATCATAAAATTGAGCGTAACTCACTAAACAACTGCCTTGCTTAGCAATGGACATTCTGGTCTCAATTGTGGTTGTAAGTCGAGGACTATCTATAGTGAAGGACACATTAAGAGTGTCAAATTTACATATTTTCCCACACTCCCATTGGATGTTGTGCTTAGATGTTGTGAAGTTGGACATTTCTTCCCTTCCTCTGGCATTTGACAGAAAGAACAGCCTTGTGCGATTGAAACCTTGCTCTTGTTCTGTAGGGCTAATACAGATGCAACAATTTTGTGTAAGTTTGGAAACGAGAAATATACATTACTGCTTCTCAAATGCATTTTGGTTTTTCTCCAATTCTTTCATTGGATACGCTACATAATATGTATAAAATATAGTGTTTCTCTGTTCCAAACGCCTCTGAAACAATCAAGAGTTGTTGGAGGAAAGAGGGGAAAACCGGACATTTTTGGCACATCTGAGACCATTAGTACCTGCATAGAATCCAAGGAATTCTGACAAGACAAGAAACAGCAGAAGAAAAAAAAGTTGTTAACTGCACATCACCATCATCCTTAAGTACAAATCGGGTGATTGATTGCAGGACTGGATAAATCAATTGAAAACCCACATCTGGAAGTGTAATAGATTGTGAGATTAACCTTGGGAGACAGGAGAAAGAGCTGTAGCCCGGGCGACACTCAGATAGGAAATATCTCAGACCCTCTTTCTCCTGTCTTCCAAGGTTATTCTCACAGCCCATTACCACACGAGGCATTGCCTTCTGACCAATGAACTGCAATGGGAAATCTCTTAGTATTTTCCACGGTGACAAATTTAATCAGGTCTTTTTCTTTAAAGATAAGTACATGCTCCAAATAGAGCTGGCAGTGTTTCAGTTTGATGTGAAATTTTCTTGTTTATTTTAAATAAACTAAATTATACCTTACTGTATCTTAAATGTTTTTTTTTCTTGATTTTTACCTCCCCTTCTTTTATTTTCTCCTCTCCTTACCTCTAAAAGCTGCACTGCTCCTTCGTGTTCTTTCCTAGCTTCAGCCTGAGCCTAAATCCAAGAGAAAAGAAAGGTTAAGGGGGCTGATTATCCCAGGAATATTTATCTTCACTGACATAGAAATGGGTGGTTTGCTTGTAGACTTGATTGAATTTACAAATTCTGCCTAGCCATAACGTATTAGCATTTGGTGTACTGATTAGGTTTATGTTAAGCCATGGTTTATAACATGTGAATATACATAATCATGTAAACCCTAATCAAGCTATATTGTAATGGGTAAATTTGGTCTATTCTTTTAAAAAATGCTTTGTATGACCAACAATATCTTGGTATTCTGTATATGTGGAATTTAATCCAGGGAGACACTACTTGGGTTGACAAATGATACAAGGTGAGAGGAAGTAGGGGTACTTGCCACCATTGAACCCCAGTGATGGAACACACACACCCTCAGTTGATATTGAATTGACCTCCACATTATGGCTCATCTGGATTCTATTAAAGACAGATATTTCAGAAGGCTTACAGCAATTGAGATGATGCCAATGAATGGAAGACGGTTTTGTATTCTTTGATGCACTTATTAGAATTTTACTTTTTCTCACTACAGATATTTTATTATACAATTGTATGTCATTTGCAGACTGTTTAATAGAACAAAAGAGTTCTATTGGAGGTCTTCTAGTCCAACTCCCTGCTCAGGCATGGAATCCTATACTATTTCAGACAAATGGTTGTCCAATCTCTTCTTAAAAGCCTTCAGTGTTGGAGCACCTAAAACATCTGGAGGCAAGTCATTCCACTGATTAATTGCTCTAATTGTCAGGAAATTTCTCCTCAGTTCTAGGTTGCTTCTCTCCTTGATTATGTTCCATCCATTGCTTCTTGTCCTGCCTTCAGGTGCTTTGGAGAATAGGTTTACCCCTCTTCTTTGTGGCAACCCCTGAGATATTGGAACACTGCTATCATGTCACCCCTAGTCCTTCTTTTCATTAAACTAAGAATAGAATAGAATAGAATAGAATAGAATAGAATAGAATAGAATAGAATAGAATAGAATAGAATAGAATAGAACCTTGGAGGTCTTCTAGTCCAGCATCCTGCTCAAGCAGGAGATCCTATATTATTTCAGACAAGTGACTGGGTGATAGAGCGCCCACAATTTCTGAAGGCAAGCTGTTCCACTGGTTAATTGTCCTCACTGTTAGGAAGTTTCTCTTAATTCCAGGTTGCTTCTCTCTTTGATCAGTTTCCAATCATTGTTTCTTGTCCTGCCCTCTGGTGCTTTGGAGAATAATTTGACCCCTCAAATACTGGAATGTGGCAGCCCCTCAAATACTGGAATACTGCTATCATGTCACCCCTATTTCTTCTTTTCTTCAGACTAGCCAAACCCAAATCCTGCAGCTGTTCTTCATATGTTTCCATCTCCAGACCTTTGATCATTTTAGTTGCTCTTCTCCGAACTTTTTCCAAAGTCTCAACATCTTTTTTGTAGTATGTTGACCAAAATTGGTTGACCATCCTGCTAATTGAGGTGGGGACAGATTAAGTAAATGAATGAACCAATAAATAAAATGTGTTAAGTATCAATAGGGTAGAATCAAATTGTTTGTTGGTAAAACATAAGCAACTTCACCTTGCCCAATGGTAGGGAGGTTTTTCCCCATCTTTCGGCAGATTGCATCTGCTCACATCAATGCATCACCAGGCATTACTATGGGCTGAATGACCCATCAGGTTACAAACCCCACCATTAGAATTTTTCCTTAACCTCCGAAACAAGTCAGTTCTTGCCAATGGGGTCTGTTTACACATTCACATGTGAGCCTTCGGTTGATGGAAGAATCAGACTTGTGTGAATAAACCTGGGAGAAAGAAGCCTCCCGTTGACAGAAGTCACCTGCTGCAGCTGTCGGACTTCATCTTTTTTCTTCTGCAAGACCTGCAAGGCCTTCTCGTGCTGATGTTCCAGCTGCTGCCTTCGTTCTGCAACATCTCTCATGTGCTGGAAAGTAAGAAGATCAGGAAGAGTCCATTAGGGCAGGCAATACATTTTAACAAGTAAATAGATTCTAAACATAAGAAAGTCAAGTGATTCTCACCCAGACCCTTCTTTCATTCTGAGCTATGCAAATCAGGACATTCATAGAACCTAGTTGATGATAACTTCTGATCAATAATATCATGTTAATAATGATGTTTGCTTCGATGCTTTAATGGATAGACTATGTCTAAAAGATGTTTTGGAAGAAATGGCAGAAGAGGGTCAAAATTTTCATTTAATTTGATTAAATGTGTATTTAAATATAAACGACAGCATCATTTTCTCCTTGTCATGCTAGTAGTTAACCTGAAGTTTTGGAGCTGCAGATAGTCCTGGACCATTTGTGGTTTTTCTCTCTCTTAGATCTGTTGTCAAGGAATAATATGATTTCATATGTAGAGTCCCCAGGAGCTAAGCATAAATTAAGAGCATCTTTACCTTTACCTTAACTGGAGAATTATTTCCGACTTGTAACTCACTGTCTTAATTATTGAATTTCATTAGCAGTTTACAGCAAATAGTGCCGATCACCATCTGAGGGCTGTGCTGAGCCTGTGCCATAAAATGGACAGTCTGTCAAGCATTCCTAAGATTTTCCTTAGTTATTTTATAAATTGTCTCAGGTTGATGCCAGTTCTTGATTCCAAGCTCTTGATTCATCATAGGAGTATGAATAACACAAATAAAGAAGTGACATTTGCATTTATCCACATCCTCAAAATCAGCTTTTAATCAGAAGGCCTGGAGTCCATTTCAATCTTATTCCAAATTTGCCATTTCTGCTTGTCAATTTTCCAAAACAAAGGATATCAGTAGAAGGTAGCTGCTCTGGGACAGCCCTTTGCTACAAACCTTGAGTGCCTGCCCGAGACTCTCCAGCCTGTCCTGGAGTTCCTGGGTTTTCTGAAGAGCCAAATCCCGTTCCTCGGTCACTACAGAAACCTGCAGCCTTAAGTCAGCATTTTCAGATTCAACCTGCGATAGGAGAAACCATTGGTTAGCCCTCAGAGGGAGGAGGAGGAAGGGGGGAGGAGGAGGAGGAAGGGGGGAGGAGGAAGGGGGGAGGAGGAGAAAGGGGGAGGAGGAGTTCTTTCTGACACAAGGAGCATTACAATCCTTTCTGATTTAGTCTGGATAATCTATTGCATACAAAATGAATTTGATGGAACTGTAAGCAAGATCATACACACAAATGGTATTGGATCTTTCTACAGAAATGTATGCATTTGTGTACTGATATCTGATTCCACATCCAACACATCAGAAAGATGAACTTGTTTTACAGTGAAATAATATTTATCTCTAAAGAAGACCTCGAGAACACCAAAGCCATAATCTACAGTCACCAACTTACTCTACTTTAGATTGGGGGGGGGACATAAGAGAAGATCTCATGATTACCTTCTCTGTCCACTCAACTTGCCCTTGTAACACGGCGTTCTCCTCAGAGAGTCGGGCATTATCACTCCGCACTTCCTGCAGTTCGATCTCCTGTGTGGGGGAAAAAACAAGCACGGATTTTCTCCCCACTATGACAGATGAGTTCAGAAAGGATTCTTTAGAAAAGTGCAACCTGGTATAAATATGTAGTTCTAAGTCAAAGAAAGTGCAGTTTCAGAATAATATTTGTGCATACTAAATATAAAAATATGATAACGTGGTTTTAAAAAGGCATTTTGCAAAATAAAAAATGGAAAAGATTGTTGAAATGATCAATAGCTGTCCTTCCTACCAGAAATACTTCATGCTGCTATTTAGCAAAGACTGTTGGAAAGAAGAAGGATGCCATTTGAGAATGCACATTTACCATCTTGACTTTTTAGATTTTCCCCTCCATACCCAGCAGACACTGTACTTAATGTGTAACTTTGGGGGGGAAAATTGCTAGCCTTTGTATCAACTATTGCCGCTCTTTGTAATCCCTTGTTCTTGCTGTATTACTGCATCGGTGATTTACTGTGTCTTAAGTCCGCTGCTGTTCACCCTGTTGACCCATGACTGTTGTGCTAGGTTTGCCACCAACCATATTGTGAAGTTTGCAGATGATACAACAGTAGTGGGCCTTATTCATAATGACAAGGTGGAAGCTTACCGCAAGGAGGTTGAAGGGTTGGTGAACTGGTGTAAGGAAAACAGCCTAGTTTTAAATACCAGAAAAACCAAATATATCATTGTTGATTTCAGAAAAGGCAGGCACAGCCACACTTCTCTGTGCATAAATGATTCACCTGTGGAGATGGTTACCAGCATCAAATTCCTGGGTGTGCAGCTAACGAGTAGGCTGACTTGGTCGCTCAACAGTGAGAAACTGGTGAAGCAGGCACAGCAGCGCCTGCATTTTCTGCGCCACATGAGAAAAGCACATCTTCCTTCCCCTGTCCTGACCACTTTCTACAGAGGGACAATCGAGAGCATCCTGTCAGACAGCATCACAGTCTGGTTTGGAGGCATCACTGCTTCAGACAGGAAGGCGGTGCAGGGAGTGGTGAGAACGGCCAAAAAGATCATTGGCAGTTCCCTCCCTCCCATCCAGGACATAGCACAGAAGCGCTGCTTGAGCAGGGTCCGCAAGATTATCTGAGACACTACACATCCTCTTCACGACCTGTTTTCCTTGTCACCTTCTGGGAGGAGGCTTCGTGGTATCCGAAGCAGAACATCCAGATTCAGCCATAGTTTCATTCCATACAGCATTAACCTTGTGAACTCTCAAGCTTCCTCCTTCCGTTATATATTCAAGATGGACAATATTTAATATTTATTTGCTACGTATATGTAGGGATGTGGGTCTATACATATGTTGTTCATAGTATGTTTAGGTGTGTGTCATGTATGTGTTTCACTTTGAGAGCGGGCAACTAAATTTCATTTTTGATGTGTGCCATTGTGCCCACAGTATAAAAATGACAATAAAGGTTATCTTATCTTATCTTATCTTATCTTATCTTATCTTATCTTATCTTATCTTATCTTATCTTGCTGCTATTGAACCTTCCGTTCCTAGGGAGTTTGTAGCATCCCTCTTCTGTCTGTTGAGTCTAGGAGTCTGCAGGGAAGCAAGCAGCACAATGCCAACAATGGGGGTGTGTGGACTCACTTACAAGCTCTGCACATCTCTTGTGCTTCTTTTTTACTTCATGCTCCAGATGTTCACATTGCTTCCTCTTCTTTGTGAGGTCAGACTCCTATCAGAAGAGGAAAGGAGACAATCAAACTGAAAAGCAAATGACCAAACAACCGTTCCCTCTTTCAAAGGAGATGGCCTAAATTCAGGGATGCTGAAGCCTCAACTGGCCTAGATTTAGCAGCTGGACACTCTCGGGTCTTCTTTTCCAGAGAACTAAGTCATAAAAGCATACAAGTAGTCCTCGACCTATGACCACAATTGAGCCCAAAACTTCTGCTGCTAAGTGAGGAATGTGTTAAGTGAATTTTGTCCCATTTTACGACCTTTCCTGCCACATGTGTTAAGTGAATCACTGCAGTTGTTAAGTTACTAACATGGTTGTTAAATGAATCTGGCTTCCCCATTGACTTTGCTTATCAAAAAAAAGTTGCAAAAGGCGATCACATGACCCCGGGAGACTGCAACCGTCATAAATATGAGTCAGTTGCCAAGCGTCTGAATTTTGACCACGGGGATGCTACGATGGTCGTAAGTGTGAAAAACAGTCATAAGTCACTTTTTTTCAATACTGTTGTAACTTTGAACGGTCACTAAACGAGCTGTTGTAAGTCGAGGACTACCTGTATTTTGCCACTAAACCAGGTGGCTGCAACCTTGACAACTTCAAGATTTGTGGACATAGCTGGCTGAGGAATTCTGGGAGCTGAAGTCCACAAGTCTTAAAGTTGTCAAGGTTGCAGACCCCTGCACTAGACCAGGGGTAGGCTAAAACATATAAGGAACGGTTGCTGGAATTGGGTATGTCTAGTTTAATGAAGAGAAGGACGAGGGGTGACATGATAGCAGTGTTCCAATATCCCAGGGGCTACCACAAAGAAGAGGGAGTCAAGCTATTTTCCAAGGCACCTGAAGGCAGGACAAGAAGCAACGGATGGAAACTAACCAAGGAGAGAAGCAACCTAGAACTAAGGAGAAACTTCCTGACAGTTAGAACAATTAACCAGGGGAACAACCTGCCTCCAGAAGCGGTGAATGCTCCAACACTGGAAGTTTTTAAGAAGAGGCTGGACAGCCATTTGTCCGGAATGGTATAGGGATACCTTCCTGAGCAGGGGGTTGGACTAGATGACCTCCAAGGTCCCTTCCAACTTTTATTATTATTATTATTATTATTATTATTATTATTATTATTATTATTATTATTATTATTATTATTATTATTACTACTACTACTACTACTATTATTATTATTATTATTATTATTATTATTATTATTATTATTATTATTATTATTATTATAACTAGTCATAAAAGAGCCAAGGTTACAGACCCCTGCACTAGACAGATGCATCAGGGGTGCTTTCAGTAGCATCTGCAGGATCTCCCTCCTTTCAGGCATGTGGGCAACCTCATAACGCTTGTAGAAAAGGGGCAGGGCTTGCATGACCACACAGTGACATCATTCCGAGCCCTTTGTCTCCCTCACAGATTCCATAGGTTGCTCACTGATCTACAATCTTGAAAGTTTTAATGAGTGTTTACAAGCTCCTTTGGTTATGCAAAACCTGCCCCTTCCCATTGGTAGAGAGGAACGCATAGAAGCTGGAAGCTCCAGTGAGGAGATTTCTGAGGCTCCCAGCTGGATTGTTTTCTTTAAGCTATCAATTACTTGTAGACTACAGGCAGTCCTCAACTTACAACAGTTCGCTTAGTGACCGTTCAAAGTTAGAACGGCACTGAAAAAAATGACTTATGACTGTTTTTTACACTTACGACCATTGCAGTGTCCCTGTGATCAGAATTCAGGTGCCTAGCAACTGGTTTATATTTATGACGGTTACAGTGTCCTGGGGTCACGTGATCCCTTTTTTTCGACCTTTTGACAAGCAAAGTCAATGGGGATGCCAGATTCACTTAACAACTGTGTCAAGGAAGGTTATAAAATGGAGCAAAACTCACTTCAAAACTGTCTCACTTGGCAACAGAAATTTTGGGCTCAATTGTGGTCATAAGTCAAGGACCACCTGTACTTCAGAGCAGATTACACAGATCTTTAAAATCAAGATCACATGACGTGTTAATACCACTTTACAATGCCTTAGTAAGGCCACACTTGGAATACTGCATCCAGTTTTGGTCACCACGATGTAGAAAAGATGTTGAGACTCTAGAAAGAGTACAGAGAAGAGCAACAAAGATGATTAGGGGACTGGAGGCTAAAACATATGAGGAACGGTTGCTGGAATTGGGTATGTCTAGTTTAATGAAGAGAAGGACGAGGAGTGACATGATAGCAGTATTCCAGTATCTCAGGGACTGCCACAAAGAAGAGGGAGTCAAGCTATTCTCAAAAGCACCTGAAGGCAGGACAAGAAGCAACGGATGGAAACTAATCAAAGAGAGAAGCAATCTAGAACTAAGGAGAAACTTCCTGAAAGTTAGAACAATTAACCAGGGGAACAATCTGCTTCCAGAAGCGGGGAATGCTCCAACACTGGAAGTTTTTAAGAAGAGGCTGGACAGCCATTTGTCCGAAATGGTATAGGGTTTCCTGCCTGAGCAGGGAGTTGGACTAGATGACCTCCAAGGTCTCTTCCAACTTTATTATTATTGTTGTTGTTGTTGTTATTACTACTACTACTACTACTACTACTACTACTACTACTACTACTACTACACCGGAACAGCATTATTAGAAAATGCCACCCTTCCATCTTTCGTGGAGACCATTGAAAGAAAGAAGATGCTTGAAGAAGCATCTCTCCAAGACGGTTCTCAGCCTCACTGGCAACACAGAGCAGGGACTTTTTTCTTAGTGGCATCCTTTCTCCTGGGATCCTCTTCCACAAGAGAACTTTGGTGTTTTAAATTTTAGTAAAATGTGTGCGTAATTCATTTAACAACTATGGCAAGAAAGGTCGTAAAATGGGGCAAAACTCACTTAACAGCTGTCTTGCTTAGCAACAGAAATTTGGGGCTCACTTGTAGTCGTAGGTTGAGGTACAGGTAGTCCTCGACTTACGACCACAATTGAGCCCAAAATTCTTCTGCTAAGTGAGACATTTGTTAAGTGAATTTTGCCCCATTTTAGGACCTACCTTGGCACCCTTGTTGCGTGAATCACTGCAGTTGTTAAATTAGTAACACAGTTGTTAAGTGAATCTGGCTTCCCCATTGACTTTGCCTGTCAGAAGGTCGCAAAAGATGATCATGTGACCCCGGGACGCTGCAACGGTCATAAATATGAGTCAGTTGCCAAGCACCTGAATTTTGATCACGTGAACGTGGGGATGCTGCAATGGTCATAAGTATGAAAAATGGACATAAGTCACTTTTTTCAGTGACGCTGTAACTTCAGAGGGTCACTCAATGAACTGTTCTAAGTCGAGGACTATCTGTAGTTACTTTTGAGGATAATGTTTCCACAAGGTAAAGTTCAAGACTCCCCTGACGTGTGAACAGATGATAAAGTAATTTTTGCCATTGTCTTTTGGAAATGTTATTCAGCGCCTCAGTCTAGTCCAGTGTTTCTCAACCTTGACAATTTTAAGGCATGTGGACTTCAACTCCCAGAATTCCACAGCCAGCGTTGCTGGCTGTGGAATTCTGGGAGTTGAAGTCCACATGCCTTAAAATTGTCAAGGTTGAGAAACACTGGTCTAGTCAATAGTTCTAGGTCGGATTTCCTGTTAGTGCCCTATCCAAGGACTCACTAGGGCACCCTCCTTAACCTTTTTAAGATTTGCTAAGCTGTACTAGATGTTGTCATATGCTGTGCTAAAGATTGTTTTTTTTAAAAAAAAACTCACCAAATGCTTCACTTGCTCTTTGACCTCAGGGGCAGAAAACAAAGTTTCTTCTCTATCTTGTACGCTTGCAAAAGGAAACACTCCTGTCTCTGACTGCAAAACAGACAAATTTCAGGCAAAATTAAAAAGCAAATGATCCTGTTTATTTTGTCATCCTTTACTGGTAGGAGTTAGCAAGTTGACTAAATTTATTTATTTATGAAATTTCTACTCTGCCCATCTCACCTAAGTGACTCTGGGCAGTTTACAACACCCAGTCTTAAGGCCAACCTTCTCTCCTGCAAATCTTTTTGCTCTGTGAACTGCTCTGGGTGTAGAATGTCACCTCTGAGGTTAGGCAGGAATGTGAACTTCCATATGGCTGGATTTACACCAGGCTAAAATAAGGTTTGCTGGCTTCGTTATTCAGCACACCATGAGAACCAGGCTGTTTATCTGTGCAAATTATGTGGACCAGACTATCACATTAAACCATCATATGATTTGTTTAGGCATGGCACCCAGAACACAGCACTGCTGTCAGGCCAAAACCAAGAATCACAAAGTAATGATTCTTCCCAGCTGAGTTCTTTATTATTTTCGCATCTATAGTCAAAAAACTTGCCAGACTGTGGACGCTACTATCTGCATCTAGAATATACTCTGTAAACTACCAAGGAAGTGCTGTCTTCACCCTTTTTCTCTCACATGTAACATTCAGACTGAGATCTCTTACTTCTTTGGAATGTATCCCATCCCTCCTGGGTGTCCACCTTCCATCACAACTACTTATGGTATGCTGGGATGAGTGAATTCACCTTGTAAATGGCATCTAATAAAGAGCTCCTTATATTTTTACACACAAGAGAGAGTTAGTAATCAGTAAGTCCAGATTCAAATTTCATGTCTGTTAGGTGTGAAGAATCAGGACCACATGTTAGGTTCCAGTTAAGCTGATTTATTATTCATGTCTATATACAAGAATCTAGTCAACTGTCAGAACTAATTGGGTGCTAGATAACAGTTAATAGAATTCAAAAGGAATTGAACTTAGACCGCTTGTGGGAACATAATGTCTCTAGGCCAGTGATGGCGAACCTTTTAGAGACCGAGTGCCCAAACTGCAACCCAAAACCCACTTATGCATTGTCGGGTGCCGGGTGGGTGTGGCCCATTAGCTGCGTGTAACCCATTGGCTTGGCGTGGCTGTGGTGGTAACGGCAGACTGGGTGGGACTAAAAAGTTCAATCAATCAATTCCAACTTTGCAAGATTTTTTTTCCCATGAGAAGTTGAAATTGACTGATTGATTGAATATTTTTTTTTGCACACGGCGGTGGAGGCCTAAAGCAAAAAGGTTTTATAAAACCCAGCTGAAGGCCTAGGACTGGGGCGACAGCACGTGTGCTCACAGAGAGGGCTCTGAGTGCCGCCTCTGGCACCCATGCCATAGGTTCGCCACCACTGCTCTAGGCTGATTCCTCTCTTAATTCCACCCCCAGACAATGCCACGCCTTCTCCTTATATAAAAAATAAATGTACATTAAAAATTATATAAAAATATATGATCATCTCAGTCCTTTAATATCATATAGCATCATTCTAATTATTTATTTTATTTATTTGTTTAAGAAAATTTATATGGTTGCCCACTCACTCTCAGTGACTCTGGGTGGTTTATAAAAATAAAAACCCAATATGCAACAATAACCCTCCACCCCCTGGCAATAACAATCAATCAGATAAGTCTCTTTATGGACTCCATCCCACTTGGGATTCTGCAGGTCCATTGGCAAAACCAGGTCTTCGAGGCCTTGTGAAAGAGTGTCAAAGTGGAAGGCAATCTACTCTCCATGGGGATAATGTTCCAAAGGGAGAAAACCACCGTGGAAAGGCCATTCTTCTGGGTCCTGCCAGATGTACTTCCTTAGGAGAGGGGACCTGCAACATTCCCTGCCTCTATGCCCTGGTGAGTCAGATAAATGTGACTGGGAAAAGATGGTCCTTCAAATAACCTGGTCTCGAGGCTATGCATCTATTTCTTATTTATTTATTTATTTGTTTGTTTGTTTGTATATTTATTTATCAATCATATTTCTAAATTGCCCATCTCTTTCAAAGAAGCATTCTGGGCAGATATATAGAAGCTGGGCGGCCTTGAGTTCTACTCCCACCTTAGGCGCAAAGACAGCTGGGTGACCTTGGGCCAGTCACTTTCTCTCAACCCTAAAAAGGAAGCAATGGCAAGCTGCTTTTGAAAAACTGGAGGGACTTGTCCATCAGTCTCCAAGAAGAGGACACAATTGAATGGAAGTGTGTGCACATCCACACCCACACATAATTTATTTTTCAGAATTGGGAGATATATATAATTCCAATTCTGAAAAGTCAAAAATTGATAAAATTATGAATTGACAATCTAAGCCCCCTCTCTCTATATTAATTACTACTTTTTATTAAAACCAGATAAAAGCTAAAGTACTACTATAGGTGTCTCAAGGGCTTGACTTCAATCAACACTCAAGCCACTAATGTCAGAAAACATTGATAGTAACCCAGAATATCACTTCTCAGCTTCAATCTGTGAATCATAAGTAATGAGCAAGAAGATTCAGAGATTTTAAGACTCTTTTTCCTATCCTAGTACCTTTTAAGGAGTGGGATTCATCTCCTATCATCCCCAGCCAGAAAAATCAAAGCTAGTGCTAACTGGGGATTATAGGAGATGTAGTCTAACATAGCTGGTTGTTCTAAGTATACATTAATGTTAGTGACTGTAATCCTTACTAACCTGGCAGTACCTGAAGAATTGTGGGAGGAAAATTTGTCCAATATTATATGTTTTCTGTACATTAAAATCTGACTCTGTCATCCAGGAAGCTGTCTCATCCTGAGTTGAAACAGTTAAGGTTTCCTGGAACTGAGACATTTTGAGTCGCTCTGCGAGTTGGATGGGCTCTAAATTTGATGTTTTTTAAAAAAAAAATAAACGAGCAAATTATAGAAGCTCCTGAATAGATGGAAGGCTTATGTTCTGATCAGGAGGTGGCTCTTTCCACTGTAACACTGAATGAGCAAATGGAAACTGCCAGTATTTCTACTTTGGATTGAAATGGTTCTTCAAAATCCACCTTTCACTGCCCATAAATGCAGGATGGTTTCAGCTGGAGGTTTCAGGAACTGCCCTGGGAAAAGTAATCTGCCTACAAGGTGAAATAGATTGGCCATTTCTCTGTTCTAGAAAAAAAATTACTAAAAAAAAAAATCAGACTCTGTTAGGGAACTGATAGAGGAAGAAGCCAAAGCCCTTACTAACAAGCTTCTCAGATAAAGAGTTTTATTCTACCATCTTTACATTATTTGGAGATAATGTTCCTGAAATATACTCTCTCCAACCTCCAGCTTCCTAAGATGATTTGCACGTTTAAAGAACAAGAATTGTATACATATTCAAGAATATTTAGTAATGCACTCAATAGGGCATTAAAATCTACCCGTCTTGGCAAAATTTATGGAACTCTGATATGGAGCCTCTCTCCTCAAAGCAAGCAACACAACATTAGGTTTCTCACCAATGCAACGTCAGGAGAGCTGGTTCAACCTCCCGATCCTCTTTTCAGTCAAACTTGCCTCCACCTAGATCCTTTGCCACCCCAAAGGCGACGCGGCCTGTACAAAAACAAGCGCTTTTCAGCCGGCCCGCTGCGCCTTCCGCTTCAGCACCAGGGACAGTTCCGAGCTGGCACAGTTCCAGCCCGGTGGATTGTCCGGTGGGCTGAACCACTTTGCCGTCCGGAAGAGGGAGGAATATCCGCAGCTCGACACGGGGCAGGGAAAAGTTCCAAGCTGCGGCCCGAGGAAGGACCCCTTGACTGAATAGTGGGAACTCCCAGACTTGACCATCCAAACTTCCAGGATCTGAACTAGGATCCGGAAGAGGTGTAAACACGGTGCAGTTCAAAATCTCCCCCGTTCTCCATACAGTCAACATCTTCAAGGAAGGTTCAAGTGTGATAAAAGTATGTTTGTATTTTTATTTTTATTTTTGCATGTAAGAAACAGAGAATAGGAAGAAAGATGGGAACAGTGACTTGCCATGATATGCCTAAGTATTTATAGCTGGGATGAGATTAAGTCGGGAATTCCTGATCTGTGCAGCTGTCAATCAGAGTATTATACCTATTGGCACTATAATTTAATGGGTCAATAGGGCAGGGGAAAGAGGCAACAATATGGTCTAGTGATGAGAGAAATGCAGCAGCACATGAGAGACAGGCTCAATGCGCTGAGCCTGTTATTGGAATCAAAAAGCTTATCTCCCAACAATCCTGGCCACATGCTAAAATAAAAACTCTCCGAGTTCAGCTCAACTTTGGTGACAGATTCACATCTGTGTAGTTCCCTTGGCAACAGTGCATGATTTGCCACACTTCTTCTGGGACATTTTCCCCATTTCCTAATACGCCCCACAGCCTTAGCTGATCAAGATATAAATCTCATTTGTCATCTTGTGCCACTTCCCTTTCCTTGAAGTTCTTCAATCGCAAATGATGTTGGGGGTTGCACTGTATGCTTTCCATAGAAATTCAAGCACTCTGTAGTGCTATAAAGTCTATTAAAAACAAGGGTCAAAATCAGAAGAAATGCTCTGCAGTTTTTGTTCATTTCAGCCTTTTTAGTCCATTTCCCCTTGTTCTCTACCTACCCCACATTATCTGAACAGAGTGCTTATGTAGACATAAAGTAGCGCCATTTGCTCAGGAAGCCTGCAAAAGATGTATTGGTAAACAAATGCTGTCTAATACACCCAGGAAGAGCTCAGCTGTCTTCTTGTCCAAATAGCCCAACTCCACCCAGGCCTGGAGCTGCACTGCTGGTTTCTCTTCCTCCTCCTTCAGCAGCATTCTGAGAACCTGTTTTTAAGCTGTTCCATCTGGACAAAGAATAGAGGAACAAGAGAGATGTGGGGCTATTCACAGCAGCATCTGCTGGGGCTGGAGGGTAGGGAGGGAAGATCAGGATCAGCAATGATGGATGGGGCATGCATGTGATATTGACACATGTACAAAAGAAATGAGGCTTGTGTTGCAACACTCCAACCGCCCTCTTGATGCTGGGGGCTCTTCACCCCTGTTAGCAACTGCAAAGAACCTTTGGCTCTCCAAAGGTTATCTATCTGGTGGACATTCCATCATGTTATCTGATCTCTTTTCATTCCAAGTAGGCATGATAACAGTTGTTCATTTTAAGAACTTGTACCTGTGCTTGATCTCTCCCCTCTCCCTTTGTTGGTCTGTGTTCACTCAGCATATTTAACCTCATCAGATAAAAGCCTAGCAGCTGCATCTGTACAACAAACTAAACTTAGTGCTATTACTGAGTATTGTTTAGCGGTCCAAAACATTGTGTGAACCCAGCTCACTAGATTTGTTAATGAGGAAAAGTATTGTGAGCACCCAGAAAAATGGGATAATTCTGTAGCTGGTTAGGCATGTTCTGTGGATATAGAATGTATATATATATATTAGGATCTTCTCACTAATATACATAAACCACACTGGAGGTCTTTTTAGCTGAACAGTGGGATAAAATGTTTTAAATAAATGAACAAATAAATATAATGTTTATGGCGATGCTTTTAAGCCTCACTTGATTCTTTTTCTTTGCTTTCAACCTGAATGAATCAAGCAGCAGATTAAAAAAAAACAGGAAATGCAGAGCATTACATAAAGGAATGACATGTTTAATTGTCATTTAAAAGAGCTGCAGTTCTTTTCTCAAATATGCCCCACTTCCAGAAGTGTCTTCACTATCTCAGAATTGCAGTGGACCAATGGAATAGTAAAACAGCAAACCTTGTATCTCATGTTAGATAGCAAAGATAGACTCAGGAATCTGGTATTCTAAGAATGGTGGATTTTGTTCTAGATTTTGCAGCATGTGGATAATTAGAAGGTAGACAAGATGCATATTTATAAACTGGAAGGAGTTCAAAGAATTTACCTGGCTGGTCTCCTCCACTGCTATGCACAGCTCCTCCCATGGCTGTGATACCCTTGTAAGAGAAAAACCATTTGAACAGGTAGTTCTGGCTGACGTGGTGAGCCCCAAGTTCATTGCAAAGGCTAAAGAAATGTCTCCTGATCCTTGACCACCAGGCTCCAGGGCTGCCTTAAAATTCTTCACAGCAATCTGTCTCTGTAACCGCAGCACTTCCTTCTGAGATTCTTGGAGTAAATGCTGGAAATCTAGAAGAGGCAGACATGGAGGACCTTCCTAGAAAAACAGAAATTATCACTTACCAGATTAAATAAATCCTGAGTGGCTTATTAACCAGAGAAAACTGCTTATATTTGCGTATGAGAAATACATTACACAGCAAATGACCAACTACTGTTTGTTTCCTCTTAGATAGTAAATAGCTATGCCATTGTGTCTTCAAGCAACATCTTGGAAGAGCGATTCATCTTCTTTCCACATAGAAGATAGAATCCATTTTCTCAGATAACTCTTGTTGGCTGCACTTGAACAAAAGCTTTTAAAAAGAAAATACCTATGTTGATAAAGCTCTGTTATCAACCAAAAATGCTTTTTTAATGACAAAACTAATCCAGATTTCACCAAGCTGTTGCTTTCCAGAATTGTGAGACTTCGACTCCCTTTATCTGTGCTGGCTGGAGATTATGAGAGGTGAAGCCCAATAACTCTGAAGGGCAGCAATGTGAAATCTGAGTTATTTAACTGATTAATACAGCATCCATAATAATATTAATAATGAAAAAAGACATATTTCAGATTTCAGGCACATTTCATAACATTCTAGTAGTCTGAAAAGAACAATTAGCAGACATGAAAACCTGCAGCATACAGTTAAACTGTCTCATTCAAACCAACCAGTGACCTGGGCCTCACTCTATCTCTTTGATCTTCCTACCTCTTAGGTCCCTCATCCTCACCTTCACTTTCAAACATCTGTCCTTGGCAACTTAAGACAGGTGGACTTCAACTCCTAGAATTCCCCCGGCCAGCCTGTTGAAGTCCACCTGTCTTAAAGTTGCCAAGATTGAGAAACACTGGTCCAGATCATGAAGTCCTACTTCTTTTAATTCTTGATAAGATTTTCCCCACCTTTTACATTTTAACAGCATCTTCTTCCAGTCATTCTTACAAATCTTGTTTCCCAATCTTTTGTTTGGCTTATGGACACTTATTCGTAATTATCCATTCTGGCACTTAATTGTTCCTCCTACTTAGCTCCCTATTGGCAGTGAATATTTTTCTTTATCCTAAAATACGTTTTTCCCAAACTAAAAGTTCACTTTCCTCAGGGAATGATGTAGCAGTATTCCGTATCTGAAAAAAAAATCTCCCTTAAAAGTTGGAATATTAAATCATGCCAGACAAATCTTATTCCATTCTTTGATTAGGTGACAAAATTAGTGGACCAGAGGAATGCTGTGGATATAATTTACTTGGACTTCAGTAAGACATTTGATGAAGTAGATCACAACCTACTACTTGATAAGATAGAAAAATGTGGGTTAGACAGCATCACCACCAGATGGATTCATAGCTGGCTGATCAGCCATATTCAGCGTGTGGTCCTAAATGGAACTGCATCTACATGGAGGGAAGTGTATAGTGGGGTGCCCCAGGGCTCTATTCTGGGCCCAGTGCTCTTCAACATCTTCATCAATGATTTGGGTGAGGGGATAGATGGGGAACTCATCAAATTTGCAGACGACACCAAGCTGGCAGGAATAGCCAACATTCCAGAAGATAGGCTTAAGATACAAAAGGATCTTGAACAGACTATCTAACAAAATGAAATTCAATGGTGAAAAAAGTAAGGTTCTACATTTAGGCAAGAAAAACCAAATGTACAGGTATAGTATAGGTGGTACCTTGCTCAATAGTAGTAACTGTGAGAGGGATCTTGGAGTCCTAGTGGACAGTCACTTAAATATGAGCCAGCAGTGTGCTGCAGCTGCCAAAAAAGCCAACACAGTGCTAGGCTGCATTAACAGAGGGATAGAATCAAGATCACGTGAAGTGTTAATATCACTTTATAGCAACATGGTAAGGCCACACTTGGAATGCTGCATCCAGTTTTGGTCACCATGATGTAAAAAAGATGTTGAGACTCTAGAAAGAGTACAGAGAAGAGCAACAAAGATGGTCAGGGGACTGGAAGCTAAAACATAAAGAACGGTTGCTGGAATTGATTATGTCTAGTTTAATGAAGAGAAGGACGAGGGGTGACATGATAGCAGTGTTCCAATATCTCAGGGGTTGCCACCAAGAAGAGGGAGTCAAGCTATTCTCCAAAGTGCCTGAAGGCAGGACAAGAAGCAATGAATGGAAACTAACCAAAGAGAGAAGCAACCTAGAACTAAGCAGAAACTTCCTGACAGTTAGAACAATTCATCAGTGGAACAACCTGCCTCCAGAACTTGTGAATGCTCCAACACTGGAAGTTTTTAAGAAGAGACTGGACGGCCATTTGTCTGAAATGGTATAGAGTTTCCTGACTGAGCAGGGGGCTGGACTAGAAGACCTCCAAGGTCCCTTCCAACTGTTGTTGTTGTTGTTGTTGTTGTTGTTATTATTATTATTATTATTATTATTATTATTATTATTATTATTATTATTATTATTATTATTATTATTATTTCTTTGATATCAGTGTCCTGACTGAAGATGGCTTTCTGGTCATAGTAACAAAAACCATGGGGCTTTTCTGAGCATGATGATAAAGAGACAAGAAAAGCTCCATTTGCTACTTTTCTGTACTGACACACTTGGAAGTGTAAGAGCAGAAACAGAAAAATGTGATAATCCTGGTCCAGATGGGCCTGGATCCAAATCCTAGTTCTCACTCACAATGGATGGAGGTTTACCACATCTGGACAACATCAGCCTGAGTGTATTCAGTGGTAAACATTCACCTTTCCACCCATGATTTTAGCTTGAAGTTCTTGACATTCCCTCTGCAGAGCATTGATCTGTTTGTCTTTCATCAGGAGTGCATTGGCTTGTTCTTGGAGATCTGTAGCCCGTTGGCGTGCCAGTACTCTTTTGCACATTCCTGCACAGGAGCTCTTCACATTTATTGGTGCATTCACCTACAACAAGAAAAGACTGACAGTTTTCTAACAGGCCAATCTTTGGGACAAATAAATAAATGACTAAGAAGATAAACTGACTTAAAGTCAAAGAGTCAGACCATTGGTCTATCTGGCTTCATTCTATCTAACTTGATTAGAAACCTATTTCTAAGGTAAGGGCACACAAAGTAAGGCCCACCAGATGTCAATGGACTGCAATTCCCATCATGCCTTGCTATTGATCATGCTGACTAAGGTTGATGGGAGTTACAGTTTATTTCTTCTCTAAGGTTTCTAGTTGGGATTTTCCTAACCACCTTTGGCCACACCAGGGATTAAACTGGAATTTTTTTTGCAAAGCAGGATTCCTAAATATTCTTCCATACACAAATGACAATACATTTGGGGAATGACCATTAATAAACTACAAAGAATATGGGGGTATATGCATGTGAAAGGTGAAAGAGGGTGAAAGACTGAGAACTCTAAATCAATTAGTAATTATCATGGTTGAACAAGAGATCAGAATTCCAGTCTCTGTAACAGACTTAATGTAAGGCTTCATAATTCTGATAGTCAAGAAAAAGTATTCATTGCTTTTGAAAAAACTTTACTTTTTAATATCAAAAAGGTTGTAGTAAACTCTGACTTTTATCACCTTTGTGACATACCCAAGCCCAACAATATGGGCAGCTTGATTGGGCTTGTCCGCCACCCAGGGTTGGGTCACTTACCACTCTGAGGTTGGCCTCTTGCAGCTTCCTGGCTCTCTCCTCCAGACGTTTCGCAATGACCGCCAGCTCTGCATTCTTCCTTTTCAAATGCCTCACTTTCTCCTGAGTCTCCGGGAAGCAGGTCTTACGCTGGGAAACAGAAAACAAGAGAGAAAGATCTAAACTGCCCTTTTTGATCCAGTTTTAGTTTTGGAGGGGGATCCATTTTGGGGAAATACATTCATTCAGCAAGGAGGGCAGTATAACCACCATTTTCACCCCCAACGTATGGTATGGTCCACCGATGATTGCTTAAGTTAGAACATGAGTCATAACCTGAGATGAATGCAATCTAATTGGGGGGAAAAAACAGTTTGGATGTTGCATTTTGCATTAAAATTTAAAATCTCCCGGCTGTTTATTAAGCTTAAAGCAACTTCAGAAATTCCACTCCAGATTTTTTTAGTTATTTATTAAATTTCTATACTGCCCATCCCACCTAGGTGACTTTGCGCCATATACAACATAATAAAACAATATTAACACTTGAATAAAAGCACAGATTAAAAACAGAATTAAGGACAAAGTTGAAACCTACGTACAAGGTAAAAGTGAAATTCAAAGTTAAAAATCCAGAAGGCTAAAAGGTTGACAAGGCAGGAGGAGTATTCTCAAGCCATCCCCAGGGTTGCGTCATACTCTTAGATCCCATGCTAATTGGCAGAGCCAGGTCTTTATACATTTCCAGAAAGCCAGAAAGGTGGGGGCTTGCCTCACCTCTGAGGGTAAAGTGTTCCAAAGTGAGGGAGCAACAGCACAGAACGCCCTCCTGCTAGATCAGTGTTTCTCAATCTTGACAATTTTAAGGCATGTGGACTTCAACTCCCAGAATTCCACAGCCAGCATTGCTGGCTGTGGAATTCTGGGAGTTGAAGTCCACATGCCTTAAAATTGTCAAGGTTGAGAAACACTGTGCTAGATCCTGCCAGTTGAAATTCCTTGACTGATGGGATATGCAGCACATCCTTCCTGCTCGACCAGGTGGGATGGGTCAATGTAATTGGGATGAGGCAGTTCCTAAGGCATCTTGAGATTGCAGTTGGTTGATCAAGGAGCTGTTCAGGTGCTCAGTCTGGACTGAACAGATTGGCTGTTCCTATGCTTCTTGTCCTTCCCATCCAAGCAGAAGCCTTACTAGCTGGCTTCTGCTTAAACTGGTCTAACCTTTTCTTTTAGGGATTGTTCCCTCCTCAACAGTCCCTGTACCCTGCCTTTGTTTTCTCAGATATTTATATACATCAATTTCTTCACCCCTGCCTCTACCATTTTCTCACATTATCTCCTTTGACATTCATACAGACCCTTCCCTTTTTCCCCCTTTCCTTTGTGAGGCTATAAATCTGGATAGGGATTGAGAAAACAAGGTAGCATGCTTCACCCAGCCTGAGCAGAAACTGAAAGGGTTAACACTGGGAGATACACCGATGTAAAGGTTGAATGGAGCATGAGCTTCTAGAGTGGAGGATGGTTCATTGACTTAATAGGTCATTTTGGAACAACTGCAAGATTATTAAAAATAAAGAAACCAACAGCTGACCAGCAGAGAACACTACTAACAGCCTAGTTTGAAATGGGTTGCAATAAGCACTGGAGGGAAAAGAGACATATCAGGCACTGCAACCAATCAGAGCTGGAACTGCTACTAGACCTGAACAAAGCAATGTAGACCATCTACTCTGAAGAGCTTAAGGCATCTCAGCCCAAAAAGCAGCAGTTTTGAATTGCAATTGGGATGCACTTGCAATAGACTGAGAGTTGGATGGAGGGTGATATTATTCATTCAGAAAGCAGTGAGTGGCCCATACAGGTACATAAAGGTTTACAAAAATTCCTGGAAAACTAGCAAGCACAAAACTGCGAAAGAGCTTTCTGTGAGCAGGGCTTCTTTTAGTATCTGAGATCCTGGAGAAACTTTTCAAGTCAAACTGACAGCAGCAACCTTGTCCATTGTGATGTCCTCCAGATATGTGGGATTGCAACTGCCATCTTTCCCAGTTGCAGTACAGACATCTGGGGGGGACACCAGGTTAGAGAATTTTGCACTCGGTAGAGCAGGCATGTAGATGTAAGGCCCCAAGGCCTCATCTGCTCACCTTAAGTCTTAGGAGCAGTTCCCAAAACCCTTCCAAAAATACTGCTTAATTGATTATATTTAATTAATGGTAGAGCATCCTTGTTTGGTTGGCCTCATCCATTTCTTCATCCTGGCCCCATCTACATTTTGTAGCCTGATTCCCATCATTCCAATCAGCATATTGGTCCAGCCTTCCAACTTCAACAGCCTGGCTTAAGATGAGACAGCTCCTTACAACCCAAAGTTCATTAGCCTCTTAAGGCAATACTTTCAAAATGTTTTTAAGATTCACGGAGAAACGGGAGAACGATCTGAACCAAGGGGCAGCAGCCAGCAAGGAATTCTAACTGCAATTATAAAGCTATGGAAATCTTGCCCTTTCACTCAGTGGAACTTTGGCAGGACAAAAGCTTGCTACCCTGTTTTAATTAGCAGAAGTGGGGCATGGCTTAGATATTCTATTTCAAGTGCCAAAACAGTTTGTTCAGCCCTGTGCTGAAAGCATTGGTCTGCATCATTTGGAACCCAGAGTTTCAAATAGCCTTTTTTATGCCCTCAAATGTCATTGCAAAGGAACATCTTTGGAATTATACAAGCCATCCTTGGTGCCCAATACAATAACTCAGGATTGTCAGCTTATACATCTCCAGATAGTGTTGCGCTTCAATTTCAATCACCATTAGCCAGTTTGGCTAATGACCAAGGACGATAGGACTTGAAGCCCAACAACATCTAGGTAGCCAGAGACTGTTCAATCATGCTTGACTAAACAACATTTGGGTACCATGCATACAACTCTTGCATGCCCCTTACCAGAAGATTGTTTTCCTTCTTCAGGCTGGCACAACGTATCTGCAACTCCTCTAGGGCTGTCAGAAGCACTTGGTTTTGACGCAGAATACAGGGATAACTCACACCATACTGTAAAGCAGAAGGAGGAGTTAAAGGAAATACAGAAAAAGGAGGAAAAAGGGAGGATATTATTAACTCATTCTTTACTAATTACACTCCAGGAAGGTTTTCTTATTCTATTTTTCTCTAGATGTGTTAACAATAGCTCCCAACATTTACATGCTTGAACACCAATTCATCTTGATTGGATGGAGAGGGCTATACGTAGAATGGAACCAAATTCTTAACAGTTATCATGAGAAAATAACAACATACACCACTGTGTCAATGTCATCCTGGTAGGTTTTCTCCTGTTTTAGAGAACAGCTCCCATTGACTGCTATGAGGAAATGTATGATGCTTCCCTTTTTAAGGAATACAATCTTCATAGGAAATAGTAAGAGTAGTTTCCCTGGGAGGGATCTTGCTCAGAACTAAAAAATCTTTGCTCAAGGCTTCTTGACAGGAGGAGGAGGAGGAGGAGGAGGAGGAGGAGGAGGAGAGTGGAGGAATCCTATGACTTTCCTAAGCTGCTTTCTTTCAACATTTGTTGAAACAAAAGTAACTTATTTTCTGGTTATACATAATCTATTGAACCATAAATCAATCAAACAGGCAGGATTAACATAAAAGGCTATGCCACAAAAGTCTAAGTAATGCTGGGTCTAAGTAATGCTGGGTCTCTAGTTGGCCTGGTTGTGTGAACAAGGCATTGAGGCATAGATAGAGATCTAGCTTAATATTAGACAAAATTCCTAACAGCAACAGCAGTTTGTCAACAGAGCCAATGATCCAAAGAGATAGTGGATCCCCTTTTAGTTGATGTGTTCAAGCATGTGTGTGTTTGTGTGTATTTGTGTGTGTGTGTGTGTATATATAATGTACACACACACATATACACATATACATATCCCTAATAACTTGAAAAATGCGAATCCCAGGCATATTTGTGTAACGGTATAAAGTCCTCGAACTCTGGGATAAGTATAAAACAGCTGTTTATTGTTAAAAACAATAAAAACGATAAATAGTTGCTTTTATTGTTTTTATTGTTTTTAACAATAAACAGCTGTTTTATACTTATACCAGAGTTCGAAGACTTTATACCAGTGTTTCTCAACCTTGACAATTTTAAGGCATGTGGACTTCAATTCCCAGAATTCCACAGCCAGCAATGCTGGCTGTGGAATTCTGGGAGTTGAAGTCCACATGCCTTCAAATTGTCAAGGTTGAGAAACACTGCTTTATACCATTACACATATACAGATATACAGATATACAGATGATAGATAGATAGATAGATAGATAGATAGATAGATAGATAGATAGATAGATAGATAGATAGATAGATAGATAGATAGATAGATAGATAGATAGATCTGAATGTATATATATAGTATCTATATGTGTGTATACATATACATATATATACTGTATACATACAGATACATGTATATATATATGTGTGTGTGTGTGTGTTTGTGTGTGTACATATACATATACATATACACTCTCAATATCAGCCACATGCAATGGTAAATGCAATTCTTACAAATACCGTCTCCCTTGCTCTTGATTTTCCGCATCATTATATTACTGGTTACCATGTCTTTTGAGTAATAGACAAATCCTTTTTCAAATTCAAATTCAAACATCCTGTGGCTTTTTCCCCCTAACTGTTTGTTTAAGGAAAGAGGGATTTGGGAACTTTTGGCTCTCACCCAAAGCGACAGTAGTTAATTTAGCTGTGTCTCTACACCTCTGAGCCTTCACTGATGATGGCAGACTCATTGAAGCTATGCAATAACTTCCAGGCATCTACAAAATATATTCCCAAAGAGCTTTTTGTCCTTCCTTCCCAGTCTTACAGCTGCAGGGCTCAGAAAATAAAATAAATATAAAAATCAAAAGAGAAATTTAAAAAAATCTGAGATGTGTTCTTCCTAATACTGTAAAGGGCGATAAGTCTCCCCAATGTGGAAGAATCATATTTTAAATTTTTCTTTTGCTGTTATATAAAGCAACCCTTTGGGGCATGTGCTGAGTGTCTTTCCCTGAGAAATAGCAACCTCATGTCAGCCTTTTAGAAGAAAGCAGCAGTCATCCCCACACTGAATTCATTAAATCCTATTCCCATGTTTGAGCACAAGGTATGTGTGAAATATTCAAAAACTCAGAGTAACAGCATTTTCCCTTCATTTTTGGAAGTATAAATGAAGCAACATTTTCTCGGTCTGTTGCCTGCAGGGATGTAGGACTTTATCTCTTATAATGTCCCAGCAAGCAGGTTAAGGAGATTGACAGCTGTCCAATTTAGAGCAGCTAGCTCTTAAATGGGATGTTGCACCACCATCCTTACCCATGGGATGAATTAATACAATACATTTTACCAGGTCACTCCTACTGGTGCATGTTGACATTCCTCATTTATCGGCAAGAAGATTCAAATTCAGCAAACCCCGACTGGCACTTGTACAACATCTGCCCAACAACTTTAACATCAATGCCCAATGGAAAGCCAAATGGGTCGCTGGATGCCCAGTCATAGGAAAACCTATAAATTGACCTCACAAAAAAGGTGGCAGGCTTTGAAATATCACATCAGCAATGGACAATCCTGAATAGGATTCACATGTCCCATGGTGTCTGCTGGCACTCTCTGTATAAATGGGGCATAGTATCTTCCCCACAGTGTGATTGCAGAGTCCCAAGTCAACCTGTAAATCACATCATGACTGGCTATAAGCTGAGGGCATATACTGGTCCAGAATCTGAAATTTTTAATATAAACAGTGCTGCGCTTCAATGGTTAGATGGCCTAGACCAGTGGTGGTGAACCTATGGCATGGGTGCCAGAGGCAGCACTCAGAGCCCTCTCTGTGGGCACGTGCACCATCGCCCCAGTCCTAGGCCTTCAGCTGGATTTTATAAAACCTTTTTGCTTTAGGCCTCTGCCGCCATGTGCAAAAAAAAAAAGGTTCAATCAGCAATTTCAACTTCTCGCGAGGAAAAAAAAGATCTTGCAAAGTTGGAATTGATTGATTGATTGAACTTTTTAGTCCCTCCCAGTCTGCCGTTACCACTGCAGCCACGCCCACCCAATGGGCCATGCCCACCCAATGGACCACACCCATCCGGCACTCAACGATGCATAAGTGGGTTTTGGGTTGCAGTTTGGGCACTCAGTCTCTAAAAGGTTCGCCATCACTGGCCTAGACGTTGACGTTTCAACATAGATCATTTTGACATTTATATTTTATTGGGTTCTGCTAATCTAGTTGAAATGTTAATTTATACTGCTAATCCATGTATGATATGCCATATGCTAAATAAATAAAAACCAGGTCAGATCAAGACTGAGCAAGTGTATTCTCAGAGCATTCTAAGCTTGCTTGCTGCTAATCAGCTAGTTTTATTTATAGCTTAGGCATCTCATGGAAGTCCAGCCAACATATTAAGTTATGATTCCATATATTATGAGAATGCATTAATTAATTCAATGGCCAGTTTATGCTTGTTATCTAAATAGATCTATAATATTCATTGACATGTATGATTTTTATTCCATCACTAGGAGGCATAGAGTGAATAAAGAAAAGGAGGATCTAGGCTAGGGATACATGTGGGGCAAAAGGTATACATAAGCTTCTTGGAGGTCATATACAGCCCTCAGGCTCTGGCTTGTGCTCCTCTGCCCTAGGCAATCTCTCCATGATTCAGCACATACCAAATACTATCATTTTGCAGCCTAGCAGGAATTACCCCTTGCAAGATCTTTGAAGAACTCAGATATACTGTAATTAAATCTATGCTGTTCCAGCAAAGCCTGGTGCATTTAAAGCAGCCAGTTGCACTTTCAATCCTCCCTTAGCCACCCGTCTGTTTGAATTCTTTTTGAATGAGCAACGAATGTTCCTTTCAAATCAACCAGGACTTTAAAAAACTGCTATGCATTCAAGGTTGAATCTCACAGAATGAGAAGTAATTGGCTTCTCTGAGAGGATAGGTCATTTGACTCTGGAAAGTGGTGACATCCCAAAGAGAATGATTCAAGCTGATATATTAAGACTACAAATCTGGTGCACATAGCGGAGCAGCCTCCTTTACCGTATGGCGGTTCTGTGGTGGATGCAAACGACGATGAATTATAAATCCTTCACCCTTGCCTTCAGATTTATGGAGGGTTGAGGTAAGCCTGACCCACAAGATTTCTCTATCTCAGTGGTTCTCAACCTGTGGGTCGGGACCCCATTTGGGGTCGATCGACCATTTCACGGGGGTCGCCAAGCAAGGCTGTCCGCCATTTTTTTGTCCGCCATTTTTCCCCCTTTTCCGGCGGGTGCCTTACCTCCCTTGGGCTGGGCCAGCTGGTGGTCGGTCTGCTCCGTCTCTGCCGCTTGCCAGCTATGCCTCGGCCGGCGCAGGGGGAGGAACCACGCATGCGCAGCGCTCCCGGGCAGGGAAAGTCCTCGACTTACGACCGGTTGGGTAGTCCTTGACTTATGACCGGTTTAGTCCTCGACTTACGACCGGTTTAGTCCTCGACTTACGACCGGTTTAGTCCTCGACTTATGACCGGTTGGGGTCGCGGCATTAAAAAGGTTGAGAACCATTGCTCTATCTGCTCCCTGAGGGCTCCCCATCTAGCTCCTCACCTGGGACCTGGGAGTCTAAAACATTTCCCCAAGTCTTTCCTTTTTTTCATCTCTTCACCAATAAGCAAAGGTCATGCTAGAGTCCATCCTCAGGAAATTTCTTGTGTGCTTTGGGCTGTTCTGTGGCCAGAGGCTATCATAAGAGGCCAAATTATGCACTGTAAAGATTGCTTGGAGGTGGGAGATACTTCCAATGCAATCCACCAGATCCCCCACTTGTATTGCCCCTGTGACTATGTAGGATAGACAGGGAGGAAGTAACCACCAGATTGCAAGAAGACAAGCTAGCGGTCAGACAAGGAGATCCAAACTCATTGGTAGCCTCATACTGAAATAAACAAGGACATACCTTCAATTTTGCAGCTACTAAGATTG